AAAAAAAAAAAAAAAAAAACGTCTAATAAGATATATATATTTTACGAGAGGGTTGGGTTGGAGCTTAAACTTAGTAGGAGACTTATGTCCCATTGTTTTTGCTCCGGTACTACTTTGTACAAATCCTTAAATAAATAAATAAATAATAAATACACGTTCTTCACATTGCTCTCTGTGCATTTCCTCCAGTACTTACAGCAGGGCTGGACACTAACAGTAGCCCACTAGCCACGGACTAGTAGAAATTCAGGTTTGGCCTGTGGTTTTCGATTTCCACTTAAGCCAGTTTGGCTAGTAAACAAAGGGAAATTGTCGTAATATCTAAGATGTCACTAGCCACTCGGCCAGTAAGTTAAAAAGTTAGTGTCGAGCCCTGCTACGAGAAGAATTCGTCCAACAATCAAGAGCTTCTTCAGTTTGTAGTAGTCGCCTTGATTTTCATAACCTTGCTGTGTAATTGAGGGGTGGTATTGTTGGGAGAAATTAAACGCTGATCTCTCTTGTGGGTCAAAGTTTCAACAGAGCGTAGACTACTCGCATTTCGGTCAAGTTATTCTCAAGTACTTTGTCCCTGGCATAATGGTTGATTTTATTTCTGTATTCTTTCAGATGGTCCATCCCACGACAAGCTGTTTGCCAATGATCAGATTCTGAAGGTGGATGGAAAAGACGTCAGGTCTGCCGCTCAAGCTGATGTCATCAGTCTTATAAAGTAAGCTTCGCTAGCTTGTTTTGAGGGAACCACAGTAGAGGTGCATGTACTCCTACTTGATGCGTCTATCCTCCGCCTTTCCCCCCTAATATTTCATAGATTTACTTGACAGTTTGTTAGTACGCTACCTCGCTCCTTTTTGGAAAAAGGTGTTGTGAGAGCCATCTTACTTGCCTAATAGTAGAGAACAATGATTCCAGCTTGAGCTCGATTTGTTAGGGCCTAGCGTAAGGCTTTTGTTGCAGCGTCTGCTACTCTCTCCTTTAGATCCCGTGTGACCCAAAAATTAACGCGTTTAACTTGCCTGTTACAACGAGAAAAAGGGGGAAAAGCAACGATGTTGATATCATTCCGTTCCCGCTTTTACACCGTTTGCACTCTTAAAAACGTTTCCTTTCTAATGGCCGAAGACATAATTTTAAACTGTAAAACTTAGAGTAGTTCTAAGGCTTATATAGTGTTTCCATATCATATTTGTGCAGAAGTGCGACTGATCGCATTGAACTCGAAGTGGTGGCAAGTGAAGATGTACAAGATAGCAAAAACCAGGTTTGTGTGAATGAAGTAAAGGATAAAGGTAGAGTGTGTATTTGACTAACTGGCCTTCCCAGCGGAGTTTGTACCGGTTTCCTTGACATCAAGCGCCTAGCAGAATTACTACTCTCCCCTGGGTAGGATGTTAGTCAATTGCTAGGGTACCCCTCGCAACATTATATTTTCATCAGGTTTCTCTGCCAATTCATCGATACACATTTCTACTCCTGGATGGAGAGAAGTATTATGGGAGTAACATGTTTTGCCCTACAACAGAACACATTTACCCGGCCAGGTCTCGAGCCCAGATCTCTCTACTCAGAGGCTAGCGCACTAAACATAAAACCGCTGAGTCTTCCACGAATAAAGTGTTTACTCGTTATGGCTCAACGTCAAAATTGGCCAGAAACCCGTGTTTAAAGGGGAAAATTCCTCTGAACTTTTGTGATGCGAATTAACTTTTAGTCTTGTGTTCTTAAACTGTGCATCTATTTTTAGTTTTTCAGAAGGACGCTGAATTCTCGAGAATTAATTTTTATCCGTTCTCTGTTTCTTTGTCAGCACAATCGAAAGTCTTCACTCATGAGTCGAACCACAAGAGAACGCCGTCGATCAACCCCAGTCTCCGTTCGTTTCGCGGATGAGCCTGCGTTGGTGCAGGTCATTGGTCCGATGGAGCCCGTCCGAAGAGTAAGTTTATTTGACTGAGTTGAGAATATATTCAATTTTTAAATTGTTTACGGTATTGAATCCCTAATCCAAACCATTCTTTCGTCAATGTATGCTTTGATTAATTCAAAGACGAAAAACGTGACATGAGTTCACCTTTACAAACTGTAGAGGTGTGTAGCGTGGTTTCCTAATTTTGGCCTCATTGGTTTTTTAACAATAGTCTTCAGTGCCACTCATCCCTAATGTGTTGAAGGTGTTCTTGGAAAATGGCCAGACACGTTCTTTCCGTTACGACTCCGATACAACTGTCGAGGTGGGTCTTCATAGCAACTTATTGTAAGTTTTTTAAATCTCCATTGGACTCACACAGCTGGCTCTAGATCTTCATGATCTTTAAGAAGAAGTGGATGCTCTTAATTCTGCTTTGGGCTTGTACATGTAAGCCGGTCGATTTGTTTACGAATGGCTAAGGCTCGAACGTCAGCCTCGGTAAGTCCTTAGGGTGGCCAGTTTACAACGTCAACTTAATTGATAAAACCAAATTATCTGATCTCAGGATAAAGTCGGTTTAGAAATACATGCACTCCCTCTCTTATTTGGCTCTCATTTGGGTGTTTCTGTTTAGAAAACTCTCCAGAGAATGTCTTCACCCTCCCAGCCCGAACTATTATTTGTTTTAAGGCCGAAGGGGGGAAATGCCATCTCACTAATCTTGGTGTGTTTGTTGTCAGGCCTCGCTCATTCATCGTTTTTGTTTGTTTGTTTGTTCTCATACAGGAAATATTTAGCTCATTTAGCTCAAAGCTCGATATAAAGTCAATAGAACACTTCAGTTTGATTCTCAGTGGCCCCAAGAAAGGACAGGTTTCGTACATACAAAACAACGAGAAAATCTCAGAGGTAATGCAAATTTATTGAAGTAAAATAAAATATTTGCATATAATTTTACTGCGATAACAAGCTACTTGGATCAACTTTTTTTCATAAAGTTTGACAACTCATTCCATTTTAATGTCATTTTTTTCAGCTTTTGGGTTAAGAGCAAATGCGTTGACGAGACATATAGTGTCTCATGGAACCTAGATAGAATTTACTTCGTGTGGCAAATCTAATTTGGTTCTCTGGCTTTTTTTCTTCAACAGATTTACACCAATCGCAACTGCAGCAGTGTCAACTGTATCTGTAAGCTTGTCATCGCGTGAGTGCAAATTTGTTCTTATATTCCGTTTTAACTGATATAACCTAACTCTACATACTTATTTCGTCTATGGAATGGAAACGCTTTTTGAGTGTTTCTTTCTAGCTTAATTTGTTTGCTTGCAAACAGTACTTTTATACATTTGCACTTTCATCTAAGTACGCTACTACTGTTACTAGAAGCACTCAGCAGTAATTCATGTCATGTACGTGAATATTCGTAAACAGGTTTGTTCCCAAAGATCACTATGAGCTACTGTCAGAGGATCCAAACACCTTTGAATATCTCTATGCCCAGGTGAGCTACTTTGAATTGAGTGCCTTTAATTGTAAAGGAAGGGCTAATTTCATTTTTAAATGAAAAACTGTTACCATGTTTCTCCCACCGATGCCCCACCACAGTTTCTTTTGAATCTTACCCCCTTTATTCATATGTAATGATTACCTGTTTGATTTAATTTAATTTTATTTAACATAATTTATATAGCGCTAACTCCACTAATTGACCAAAGCGCCTTACAATTCATAATATTAAAATAATTAAAAACATCCCACTGGTAATAAAATATGAATAAATTAAAAACCTATTTGCAGAATTATTTATAAAAATATCACAGTAAATCCTATTCCAAATTATCAAAAAGTTAAACATTATATGCTTTTTTAAAAAGATCAGTCTTTAAGTGTTTCTTGAATAAATTAAGTGTATCTAAACTTCTAAGATCTAATGGCAGCTCGCTCCAGAGTTTAGGTGCAGCAGCGGAAAAGGCCCTGTCTCCCTATGTTTTAAGTCTTGACTTCGAAACAACCAGAAATTTTTGATCAGTAGAGCGTAGCGTACGTGAACATGAACGATAACTAAGTAATTCCGTGATATATAATGGTGCCATACCATTTAGGGCCTTATAAACTAACAATAAAACTTAAAAAAGAATCCGAAAATGAACAGGTAACCAATGCAGTTGAATCAATACAGGGGTGATATGATCAAATTTCTTGGTTAAAGTAACGATACGAGCAGCCGTGTTTTGCACAGACTGCAGACTACTTATCGTATGCTTAGGGAGGCCATACAATAAAGAGTTACAGTAATCTAGTTTTGAACTGTTTGTACCCCAAGGTAAGCAACAGAGTTGTGGAAGGTTTCTATGGAATGGACCTGAAATATGATATGGCCATAAAACTGGCGGCGCTTCAAATCCAACAGAAAGCCATGGAAGCTGCCGCAGGAAGACCAGTGAAAATCTCCGTTCGTCAGGTGGAAAAAGAATTCGGGGGACTTGGGAAGTTCGTCCCGTCAGATTTGTTAAACAACATGAAGGAAAAAGAGTTGCGAAAAATTCTTGATCAGCAGATTAAGCAGAACGAGACCCTTGCTTCACTGGGAGAAAGATATATGACCTCGCTGCTGTGTAAACTGCATTATCTCAACCTTGCGGTAGAAATGTTTTCCTACGGCGGGAGATACTTTGACGCTAAGCTCCTTGATGATGAGAACGATGGACCCAGTCTGAAAAAGGTTCGTTGGAAGCCATCGTTCAGTTTAGGTTGACTACTAGAATTACAGTGTCAGATCACTCAATCATGGTCAGCTAAGTTTCCATTTATGCTACGAGTATTCAGTTTTTTGCCTTATTTTTATGGCTTTTTCTGGTTCCTATGTATCAAATCTGATGCGCAGTTGCATTTTCATTCCACTTCGTGTTGTATGAGTTGTAGTAACAGTTCTCTAGTCTTTCTCAGGATATGTGTTGTTCGATTCACTTAAGAAAACAACGTGAAACAAGTTCGTAAAAGGAAGGATTACTACTGCAATTTTTTTAGTTTTTTTATAGTCTTTAATACGAAACGACACGGTTAAAACTGGAAATAAAACAGCGAACGAAAACCAATTACAATAGAAACTAAGCTATATACACAAGGAAAGCTACAACGAAAACAACGATGAAAACTACATAATACAAAACTTTTGCTGCGATGTTGTGGATTTCCTGCCTAGTGGCGAAATAGCTGCACGAAGCGAGTGACCAAAACATCGAACACTGTACAAATACTGAACAAAATACTGGACAAAAACTGAACAAACTGCACAAACTACGATGAACAATACGTTTAAATACATGCTACGGTACGTAACGTTACGTAACGACACAAAGAAAGGGCACACAAAATTTTACTTCAATCAGCACTATTAGAACGAGAACAATAAACAAACGAAAAAGAATATTAAGGCGTTTGCGATCTACAGTTAGGTATAATTTGTAACATACTTTGATCAATGTTCTCGGGGTTTTAATTTTTAGGTAAAGAAGCAACATATCACCGTTCTTATCAACTTGAAGTATGGAGTAAGTCGAGTCCTCAGGGGAAAAGTAAATGTGGTAAGTGAATTGTATTTTGTTCCGTCTTTATTTTTATGTCTTTATCTTTTTGTTTTTGTTTTTTGTTTTTTTGGCTTACAAAAGCCTACTCTAACGAACAATCTATAGCCCAGATGAAAACTGACAATCCAAATATACAATCCAAGAATTCATTTGGACACTTTCTTTCAATAAGTGATGAACACTACATTAAATCGTTTGATTGATTATAGTTATTTACAATTTGATATCCTGAAATATTAACAATATCATCCAATCGGATCCCTGAAAGTCGCCAATCGAGGTCTTGTTAATCAAAATGAACTTGTCGCAAATAATTCACCTGAAGGCGTAATGGTTTTAAATTTACTGCAGGGACCCCTTGTCCGTGCAGGTACAAGACATTGACTTGATATGCACCTTTATTGGTATGAAGTTTTAGACTTCAATCCCTGAGTCCCGAACGACGATGTAGCTCAATATGTAAGGGTATTCGCTGTAAATAACACGGAAAATTACGCAAAAGTATTAATAACGAACTTCCAAGTATCTTTCTTAGCGTGTTCTGCCCAAATATGTCATACAAATGTGAATATAATAATAATAATAATAATAATAATAATAATATTAATATCTATAGCGCTCTTATCCTATGTTCAAGGCGCTTTACAACACTTTGTGGGGGACTTTTACTAGACTGCCAGTGGCAGTTTATAACAATCAACAAAGGCGAATTTTTTTACAGATGCCCCCCTCCCCCCAAATCCCAGTAAACAGGCCAGACCACATCACAGTACTGTCGTGATGTGGGTTCTTTGACGTCCCCTGCCTAAACAAATTATCTAATTAATAGATGCAGGAGACGCGGCCTACGGTTTATTCCTCCTTATCCGAGAAGACTAGAATGTCTATCCATTTCTTGATATTTTAGAAAGGTAGCACATTCTCCTCAGTTATTTTAAGACCATGAGTATTGGTCCGGCCGGGGCTCGAACCCTCGACCTCCCGCACAACAGTCCAGCGCTCTATCCAATCTCTTAGTTAATAACTCTCCCTATAATCAATTTTACAACGATCACTAACATCACAGAAATGCTTTCATCTGGATTATGAAATTTCAGGTTAAATAGTCATGTAAAAATGACAAGATTGTGTTCTACATTTACAGTTGTGTCAACTAGCTGAACTTCAAGATATAACAGGATTTTCGATTCGTCCAGAAGAAGACAACAAGCGGCTGCTACAGATCATGCTACAAGAGGGAAAGGTAGCACTCTTGTTGTGTCATGGATAGGATTTTTAGTCTGTCTCCCCTTCGTCTCTGTCTGTCTTTTTTTTTGTGCGATCGATACTGTGAATCTGAATTAAATTAAGACTTGTAATATTCTTGAAATTGTCCCACTTATTAAATGATTTGTGCAATTAATTTAATCCCTTTCAGAAGTTGCAACTGATCTGTACCACCTTGGTCTGCTTGGATATGATCGCACTAATCACTGGTTACTACAAAGTGTATGTCGACAATACGAGCAACACGCCATTGCCAGTCGAAAACGAGGAGACTTGGCCGTTCAGCTTCCGAAAGAGCTCCCCTCGTAAAGATGGTAGGTATCGGAAAATTCCAGATCAAGAAACTATTTTACGAAATAAAAACAAACAAAGAAAATGGTGCTGATGATGAGGAAATCAAACGGGCCTATCTGCACTGGCGGACAAAACTAGAATTGTGTCGTCAAAACTATAAGGACAAATATTATCATGCTTTGGCATTATGAGTTGCAGCATAAGCGAGAGTAGAATCAACGGTCGACAAAGAACGATATCTATTGTCCAGTTAAACTTAATGAGGAACTTTATAGACCAGCGGTAAAATTTTGCTGACCTGGGTATTCGCTGCTTTTCTAACAAAAGGCGAGTGATATATAAGTGTAAGGTAAAGATGAAGTCAGGCTATACTCGTGACAAGTGGCCAACTCCGCTGAAACTCTTCCCGGTTTCCTTAGCATGAAGTAAGAAGGAGTATCTCTACTCCCCCCTGGATGTGATGCTAGTCCCCAGTATTTCATCAGGTTTCCCTGACAATTCGCCTTTGCCCATTAATACTCCTGGGTGGAGAAAGGCACTGTGAGAGTAAAGTGGCCACTGCGTCTCTCAGCTTTATTGGCTTGGACCGAAAGATGTCAGAAGAGTAGGGATGGCGCGGTAGTGAGAGCACTCGCCTCCCACCGCTGTGGCCTGGGTTTGAATCCTGGACGTGGCGTCACTTGTGGGTCGAGTTTGTTGTTGGTTCTCGTCCTTGCTCCAAGGGTTTTTCTCCGGGTCCTCCGGTTTTCCTCCCTCCGCAAAAACCAACATTCCAAATTCCAATTCGATCTGGAAACAGTGGACAAGAAGAGCCCCCCAGGGAATGTCAATTCCTAAATTATTTATTTATCTATGATTTATTTATTTATTTAAGATGTCACAATGTTCCTTCTTAACTCTTATGGTGATGTTGAGGAAGGTTCACGCTGTCAGTGTTGCTAACGAATTTCTTTTTATTATTGTGATTTAAACTACAGCGCCAGACTACTACTCAAGACATCGTGTTGTCCCAGACGTGTGGTCTTATCCTTCTCGCTTTCAAATCTCAAATACGATCAAGAAACCACCTTTAGAAAATTGTAAACCTTTCAGTGAACACAAAGACGTTTTCGTTGACTTTTCAAGCGCTCCGCCCAGATACAAAGTTAAAGCAACCGTGAATGCCATTTCAGAAGAATCCGAGTCAGAGGACGTTTTGGTATTGAAGAAAACAAGTCAGCGACAAAAAGGTGAAGTAGAAATTGGCCGTGAACAAGAAACTTTTCAGCACGATTCTTTAGAAACAGAGAATGTAGATAGTGGTGGAGAATATCTCACCGATATTAACGACAATGACAGTGCAGATTTAGTCCTGTTGGATGAAGATCACGTGCTCCTGGAAACCGATTCTTCTTTTTTGAAATGTACGTCAGAAGATATCGTTGTCATGGACGAAACCGAGTTTTGCTGTGACAGTGAAACTGCTGCTGTCAGTGAGGAGTTCCTTGCTACTCGTAAGCGACCTCATGGGTCGCCGGAAGGTCGCGATAAGCAAAATGTGGCGTTAAAATCCGAAAAAATTGACCTGCCAGAAACTCCGCGAGAAAATCAAGAGGACCTGATTTCACAGCTGATTGTTGCAGAGGAATTGTGGCAAGAAGAAAGTTCCGTTGTTCTCGTTAATGGTTCAGGTAACAAAGCCTTTGAAACGGTTTCAATAGATGGCAGTGGTAGTTTTGACAACGCGTATCATAGTCAGATGAATAACTCTGTTCACGATGAAAGATTGCTCCTAGACTTTGAAGATGGACACGAGGAGATTTCGTCTGACACTGAGGACGACAAATCTGATGAAAATGAGCTAGGTCCTTACCTTGAATGTACTGAGCACAGTCTTGGTCGTACAGACATTAACCAAAACATTGTTACTGATTACCCTTGCACAAAAATTTCCTTGCTAGCGAAGGACAGTGGTGTTGCAAGCCCTGCTGTCTCAGAGCACGACACTTCCATCAATACAAATCCCCTACAGGACAGAAGTACATCACCTCCAAGGGCCTTGGACTTTGACGAAAGTAATTCTGACAATGAAGGTATTGAATTGATTGATTACCTTGAAAACAAAATCTCTCAGGGGCCTGTGGAGCAAGGAGGTGCATTAGCTTTACAACGGAACGACTCGGAAAATAATGGGAATGAAAGTGGAAGCAGTTACGACAAGGGAGAACAATCTCCAGAAACCTTGAAGAGAGTTGACAAACTCGAATTGAAGGCTGATTCGTGTTTGGATATCGACGATTTCGCAGCTGGCGAAGGAGAAGATTTAGTGAACAGCGTGGACAGTCACCATATCAGTTTAGAGTTTTGCGAGGGAAGCGAGGCGGAAACAGTGTCAACAACGTCGGATGACGATGAATCTCTGTGGTCCTTATTTCCACAATACTTTCGGCCGAGTGGAAACGCGATGCGTACGAGTATTAACAGTGTGGACCTCTCTTTGGCTGAAGAAGATCAGTACGAAGAGGGTATAAATTCTCCTGAAACCGAAGGAGAAGTAGCGTTACTGAGTTTCAAGGTGCTAAATGCGAGAGATGGGAGTACTCCAAACATCGGTTCAAAAGAGGATGAAGCTACCTTTCTCGATAACTGCGACGAATCGTCAACAGCCTCTTCGGAGGGTCTAGAAGAAACCTATGAAGTGAATGCCGAAATACTCTCCGAAAGCGAAGAAGTTAGTGAGGACAGCGGTTATGCCAATTCCAAAGAGAACGATAAAAGCAGCTTGGGAGTAATTTGTAACAAAGTAGACGAAACTTCCTCTTCATCTCCAAACAGTGCGAGATGTGCGTGCTGCACGAATAACTGCGATATTTCTCCTGGCAATTATTCCAACGGTACATTATTGGTAGCTGAGACGAAGTATACGTCGGATTTCGACCAACACCCTGAGAAACAATTTCTTGAGAAGTTTAAGTCTGCTGAATTGTCAGAAGGATTCGAAGTTCCTAGCCATTCAAGTGATGCGTTGGTAAAACATAACGTTAAGGGAGATGCAGAAATTCTCTCCACTGAAAATTGCTCACCGAAAAACTTGGACGATAAAGGAATGTTTGAAGATAGGAGCTACTCTCCGTCCGACTGGATAATTCCATCCCCACCCACTCCAACACCTGAGCTGCAGGATACTGATATTCCCATTGTTTCACCCCCTCCTCTATCCTTAACACCAGACGGAGATCGACTAGATGAGGAGTTGAAGCGCCTGATTGTCCCTCCCCCTCCCGCTTCTGTCGATGTTTTGCCGAATGTTTCGGGTATCAAGATTGCGTCTCCCCCTCCCTTGGATTTAAGCGACAGTGAGTTGGAGCGTTTGATGGATGACTATGATGACGTCAAATTTCTTTCTCTCACCGATGACCACAAACTCGCCAAGACCAATGGTTTGGTGTCAGCTGAAATCTACGATGCTAATTTCACCGAGGACAAGAAACCTCAGGTACTGAAGGTCGCAGCTGATCTTCCAAGGATTCAGAAAGAATCATCCGCATTCTTGAGCAGAAACGAAAGTAATTATAGTCCGGTAGAAAACCTCTCCAATTCAAATCAATCTCGCGCCGAGAACGTTTCTTCAGCTTTCACTTCTCATTTATGTGAGTCACAGGTCTCACCTAATCCGCCCTCCTCATTTGTTCCGTCGACCTTGATTGATTTCAATGCCAGATTAAAATATAATAACTCTGATCAAAAGGTGGGCGAATTTCTCGACAAGGAAATCGGTAAAGGTGCGGAAAACCTCGACATTTTCACGAAGAACGATGAAAGCTTAAAAACGGCACTCGGGGCGAGTTCTGCTTCTGCTCATAGTAATCAGGAAGTTTTTGAACAGTGTAGAAGGTTTCCTTCAAAACAAAAGCCTCCGCTTCCTCCTAAACCTCGAATTCTCCGCTTCCGGTCAGTATCGGGTGAAAAAACAGTCAGTATACCCAAAAATTCTTCTGACGGGAAAAGAACGTGTAAGTCGTCAACCGCCGGAACTTGGTATCCAGGAGATAGACGTTTAGAATCCATAGCAAGGGTTAAGAGTTCCAACTTGTCTAAGGAAACATCTTCGAACAACATCGATCATTCCTTTCGCCAATCAATCACAGAGCATTCGCATCAGAAATCCTCTCCTCCGACATCAATCGATCCAGAAGACAACCCAAGTAGGACAGAGGTCAACCCACGGCGTGACAAATTTAGCACGAGGAGTTTATCAGTTACATGCAAATCGCCATACGTGCCTGCACCGTACTCAACGTCACGGATGCAAAATCTATCTTTGGTAACGTCTCCGATAGAGTCTGAGAGGTTACATGTACATGGACCCACTCTTTGCAAAATCAACAACTTCTTGTATGCAAGAAATTATTCGGGAAGATCGGAAAGGGGCTGCTCAGATGCAGTGCGCTTTTATGGGTTAGAGCCTTCCACTTTCTCAACAAATTCCACAACGGCAATGTCGAAAGAAGTGTTGCTTCATAAGGAGACACATTTATCGATTGGGAAGCCAGCATCGCATTTACATGAACGTTGTGGAAATTTTACAAAAACCCTCAGTAGAAATCTATCTGAAGATATCACAGAAAGCACGGTCCCAAAGGAAAGAGTTGAAAGCCCAGACCTGCACCGAACAGCCCCTGAACATCATGAAGACAAGTGCAACAGCTCGGTAGGCTCATCTCCTCTCCTTGACAGTCTCCCGCCACCATTACCGAAGTCTTCTCCCCCTACCTCTATTCCTTCGTTCGATCTCGAAGATTTTGACAACAGCGAACCGCTAATCGAAACATGTTGCGATGACGCTCTGAACTGTAGTGTTGAATCAAACACTAGTCCGGAACTTACATCTCTCAACAAAGACTTGAAATTTAAGCTTCATTCCGACTCAGTAGAAAAATCAAGGACAGGCTGCTTTGAGAGACGAGATGGTGATAGCACGTTATCTGCATCTTTAACTTTATTTTCGCCATGTCGAGAACGACGTTTCTTTAGCGAAGATTGGTCTTCTCGCGATAACGCTTTGTTTTTAAGCAATAAAACAAAACGAGGTAGCCTTGCTTTCGAGGATGACGATAAGACCGAAGATTCTGTGCACAGGTTGGAAGAATTTCAAATAAAAGCTTTTCGAGTAAAATGTTGCCATGTTTGTGAGGAAGGCCTTTCGAAGGTGATTATTTTAATGAACAGGTTGGAGTTGTGTTTGAACAAAACGGTATTGAATGCACAAACGAACGGCGAAAAGAGAAACTGGCTGTTGAAAGTTCAAAATAATGCGAGGTTCTTAGCATGCGATGTCAAGGTCATTTCATCGAGTACCAAACGTGGAAGCCTCCAAGTAGTATCAGCTATTAAAACATCTTTAGATTCTCTCGAAAAGCTGGTTGAGTCATGCGAGAACACTCACTCAATGGTAGATGCTACTTGCGATTGGAATGGCCGCCATATTGTTGCCACGGTCCAAGAAGTCGTGGAACAGTATTATGACATTTTGTGCACCGTGAAAATTGCCTCATTTCAGAAATCCGATAACCCGAATATAGAACTTTTAGTCAAAAAGACCAATGCCTTTACAGCATTGATTGATTCATTGATTCGAGCTCTTAGAAGGTATTAGTCCCAGTTTAATTAGTTTTTAGTGCATCAAACATAGTCCGCCGTTTACGTAACTGCAAGGTTAAACTCGCTACTATTTAACTTATTGAACTGTTGTGAAACCCTTCGCAACAAAGCTGTATATGCTCTAAATATTTTTGATGGTCTTATTTATTATGAATTTTTGCAATTGAAATAGGCGCCATAAAATGGAAAGCAAAGTACCCGTGTTCAACGGAATTATCCAATTATGGACAAAAAATTTAGTTTGTATATAATATACATGTAAATAAAGGAATTTAAATTGTGTAAAGAACGTATCTCATTTGATTGAAGCACAAACTTGTGTTAGGGAGAGGAGACGTTTCCAGTTACTGTGGTAAAAACTTTGGATCGTGTCATTATCCGAGGGACTACGCACCCACCCCTCCCCCAATCCATTATTAGCCCTAACTTGTTATCAGTTAACTGTTGTTGGTTTTTGGGGAGGAGTAGGTGCGCAGTTTCTCAGATACGAACATCGATTCAAAACTTTCTGCGATTATGAAGAAAATTGATTCCTTCCCAAGAAGGACCCGATCGAAGAAATGATATAATTGATGGTGATCCTTTTTATCGGGGTGTGAGAAACTGCTATTCTTAGACATTTGGAAATTGGTGACTATTGTGAAGAAAATTAGTTTAGTCGTTAAACAATGCTTCTTCGAATAGCATATTCGTCTTTCATTTCCATGCAATGATGTTCATACTCGATACTTGTGAAAAAAACGCTTTTCCCAGTACATGTAGATGCTTTGTGCGGATTTTTTTTTTTAAACACGAAATATTTTGCTTCACCAGTTGACTTACTTCGTACATCGCGACCTATTAATGCAAATTATTTCTCGAGTGGTTGCGCAGCTGAACGGAAAGCTTAGCTGATAGCGATGCAAAGCTTGTTTCATTCTAACATTCCTCAGTGCCAATCAATCACCTCTCTCTCCCCATCCCAATTTTTTACTTCAAATCTATTCAGCTTCGTATGTGTCCAAGGATACTACCCTTGGGTGAAAGCTGTTCCATCGATAAAATATTACAGCCTGAACTCGACCATCCAATTGCAAAGTCCGATGGAAAGGACATCGAATAATAATGCCATCGTCCCAAACAATTTCGAACCATGATAATAGGCAAAGTTTCATTTGTATATTTTTGGCAATGGTTGACACATAAAGGACCAACACACTAGAAAGGATCGATTCAAATTTGGTGCTGGTAGAGCTTTCCTTTAAAAAAATCAGTCACTAAGCCTACATCATTCTTTATTTGAACTATTAATGGTGTTTTTCACTTTACAGAGTCGGTAGGGACTGTTCATTTACTCTCTCAGTTACAACTAATCACCTTCTCAGTTATCAATAATCACCTTAGGACTTTCTTGGCCAACATCCATTGTCAATTATAAATGATAGGGATATATCTGCATTTGATCTCTTCAAGATCATCTAGTTGACAAGGTTATGCAGCAAGTTTGTTTCGACAGATAAACTCAACTTTGGGTGGACCACCAATTACCTAAGGCGGCTACAGGTCCACAGGATCACCAATCGCTTCCAGCTTGTAGATGTCCTCAAAGTAACCTTTGTCTGTCCCATCTGGCCCAGAATCGTCACAACTGTAATTCGCATTAGCATCCACAATCTCATTTTCTTTGTCATCGTCGCAGTCCTCAACGAGAGTGTTATTATTGTCCTGTGTGTCCTCGATGTTGTAATTGCTATTCATGGCACAGAACCTTACAAGTCGCCCATTCAATGGACAGAGCGGTCTGCAGTGACCAGCCATAAGTTCTCCACTACTGTTGCGAACATTACGAAACGCACTTAGCTGTTAAGAACGACAAAAAATGATTAAATTAGCCTCTCGTTTACTCTGACCTGCCCTATTTTGGTCAATTAATTAAAAGGGTATCAACCAATCCGGTATAGTTTTATATCGGAAATGAACCCAATTGCGGTGACGAACTTGTTTTGGTAGTCCTTGCATTGCCATTATGTAAGGCTGCAGACTGTGAAGTTTTTTGTAAATTCGGTTGGTATCTGTTCGTTTTCCTCATTTGTTTGTTTGTTCAATGCTATATAACGAAATATTTTGGTTTCTTTGAAGTGTAGCAACTGGCCCTGCCCCCGCGGCCCCATTTTTGTTTCAAAGTCACAGTTATAGGTCAAATTAAGGTTGATTTGTCATGGGTTGTCATGCCAGGCGATAATTACCACGAGCAAATAATTTCTTGCCAATGAAATGGCACAAGGCTGGATCACCGTGAAGAACACAGTTTCTCGAGCATTATCACCACGGCATTTCTTCTGGACTTCCACAAAGTAAAATGATAAACAAATCAAAAGCTCGCATAGAAAGCGCTAAACCGACCTGTTTCTCGGATATTTTCATGATATCTTCTGATATTATCCATGTGACATTCTCACTCATAGGAGGAGTTGTAAGTGACCCTTGATATGTCCAGTATGACGTCATATCTATATCGGGAAGATAACCAATGGGAAATGTGGTTGTAATTGTTATTTTACTATTTTAGAAATTGCTTATTGTAAAATAGAACAATGAAAGCCCCTCTATTCGGTCACCATCATCAGTGAATTGCGAAACGAGTTGAACAGTGTGTGCACATTCTCTTAGAGGTAGAGACAACTATCCAGTGAACTTTCGACCTGCCATTTTATCGGTTGTTTCAGAATAAAATCCACTTAACGGAGCAAACTCGTAAAAATCCATATGCAATTTATTGTAATGCAAATAGTTTAATTGTACATCCTTAAAGGATTATTACTCATTAAGCTAAGATTATTACTCATTATTATTCATTAAGCTGTTCATCAGTCAATAAAGGTATCACGTAGGAAAAGCCTCCAATTTTGATTTCCTTTTTTACTTGATAGATGCGCCTGGAGTTGGTCTTTTAGAATCCGTGTTGATCTTCCCCAGTCTCCGCCGATGCTTGTTCATTTTTAGTCTATTCTTACCTCGTTTGTGCTTTTCCTTATAGTGTGGTTAATGAGTGGTTTCACTTTCAAAATAGTTTTGCCTTTTAAACTTATTTACTCAGCTGAAACAAAGAATTATGATAAGACGTAAGCAAACCTTTTATAAAACAGGTTGGATCAATGTTAGATTTCACCTCCAACGAAAAGCAGCCCTGTAAATATAACAATACCGCTTTATTAGTTGTCAACAGGCTGTTCATAGGGTGATGAAACGAATATTTTACGAAAGAACGCCATGGTAGCGAGTACCAAACGGTCCTCGCTACCATCCATATAAAATCGAATACAAATAATTTTACCTTATTTTCCTCCCGAGAGAGCAATTTTATAATTGGCATTAAGCCCTCATTGTCGTCGTCTGACACCTGCCATGGAAAAAATGTCATACAGGGTTAACCCCCCATCATTTCGTGCATCCTATATTTTCTCTATAGTTGTGTGTATATCATTTCTAGTCTAAGGGTTTTTTCAATTTACTTGAGTATGCCAGAATAGATGGGAAAACACGCAGGCGAATAAACAGGGTGGGCCGGAGATTCCGTCGGAGATCAACTCTTTATTTGGAAACAAATAAAACAAGTGAGGGAGTTGAAAAAGATTTTCCAAAGTTGAGGACACTTTTAAGCAGACAAACTGATATAAATACAGACGGGCGTGCAGTCAAACGAGCAAAGAGACGCAGCTAGACGGATAGACAGACAAACTGAGAGGTAAAGGGACACAAAAGAAGAGATAGGTAGATAGAACTCAATTAGCATACATGCAACTCAATTAGCATACATGCAACTCAATTAGCATACATGCAACTCAATTAGCATACATGCAACTCAATTAGCATACATGCAACTCAATTAGCATACATGCAACTCAATTAGCATACATGCAACTCAATTAGCATACATGCAACTCAATTAGCATACATGCCACTCAATTAGCATACATGCAACTCAATTAGCATACATACAAAACGGGAGACAGAGGAACAATGTACACCCTTTGACTGGAGCCTGATTGCAAGTTATAGCAATGAGTTTTGTTTCAAGCAGACTNATTAGCATACATGCAACTCAATTAGCATACATGCAACTCAATTAGCATACATGCAACTCAATTAGCATACATGCAACTCAATTAGCATACATGCAACTCAATTAGCATACATGCAACTCAATTAGCATACATGCAACTCAATTAGCATACATGCAACTCAATTAGCATACATGCAACTCAATTAGCATACATGCAACTCAATTAGCATACATGCAACTCAATTAGCATACATGCAACTCAATTAGCATACATGCAACTCAATTAGCATACATACAAAACGGGAGACAGAGGAACAATGTACACCCTTTGACTGGAGCCTGATTGCAACTTATAGCAATGAGTTTTGTTTCAAGCAGACTAGAATGACACCTTGCAATCTAATAATAGTCTTAAAACTCCTGACGTTACCTGGTACAGAAGTCCTATGATACATAAACCATTTTCTCCTCCCATAGCTTCACCAATATTTTTGTAAAGGCTTTTGTTCCAATGGATTAGCTGAACCTGTTCACAATAAAGTGGCACAAAAGAGATGTTGTTAGTCTTGATGCGTAGGTAAGGCAGGGAAAAGCTGAGTCTCCTGGGAGTAATCAGTGCGCAGATCTTTGGATTTTCCGCGCACCGGGATGCTGTACCACTGAGCCAGAGAAAACTATATGATGCCACAGTTCAGGAGAAAGAAAATGGCGATTGGTATCATTCTTGATCTGATAAGTCCGCAAAATTTCAAAAGTATGACTTATCCCGCCACCAGAAACAAAACAAATATAAAACAAAAACAAAAAAATCGGAGACGAATAATCAAACGTGGAGAGAACGATGTCTGGTAGACATAGTTAACTTTGAAAATACAAGTTCAGTGAGGAAAAAAACTAACACACGAAATCGAAGCAAGATAAAATTGAAAAATGTTTGGGAAAACTTTGCCTGATCAGGTTAGGATTTACTGTGTAACTTAGGGCTTGTAAGGAAGATAAACTGTTTCGTTCCACTTTCGCAAAATAGCGATTCAATTCTCCTTTAATCGTGAAGTGCATTACCTCCAATGGATAATTTTGATCATTGATTGCGTGTTCCGACCCGGAGTCGTTGTCATGTCCCCAGCGGAAGCGTATAACAGCCAACTGGTATGTATCTGTCAGTGGGCCTCCGGTGACAACTAAAGAGAGAGAGAGAGAGAGAGAGAGAGAGAGAGTAAAATGTCTCAGCTTCTAGCTTAAAACGTTAGAGTAGCACACCCACTGCACTGGTACGGTGTACCTTCAAAGTCCAAAGTCCGACTGTGCTGGAAGAAGCTCTTGTCTAGGGCACATGGTTTGTAGCTGCCCGATAACAAGCACTTTAGCAACAATGGGTCTTTTCCACCAAAAAAAAGTTAAGTAAAATTAATAAATCTAACATAAAACAGATCAATAAAGAACAGAACGTTTGGAACAAGTTCTGCTTATGGTAGTAACCTGGTGGTTTAGTTTTTATCATTCCGCACAACTTTTGTAAGTAAAAAACGAGCGGTATCACTTTCACCTTCTACCTTCTCAATGTTATTATAATGATAACGATGATTGGCACGACCACTGATATCATTACTATCATTGTTCTTACTGATCGTCGTCGTCGTCGTCATCTTTATCATTTCCATAAAACTTCTTGGAGGAGCCTCACTTAGTCTCGAGAAATTTTTACGCATTTTAGATCAAGATCATTGATGAAAGAATAACCAAGTAGACGAAGCATGGTGATAGATGTAATACCCCAACGGCGTTTCGACTCTTAAAATGTAGCTTTACTTCCAATGAAATAGATGCCTTGATCAAGATCTAGAACAGTTGGCTTTGTAAAGAAAGAAAACTTTTCTTTCTTTAAAATGAGTGAGAAAAATTTCTCCCACCCACTTTTAAGAACTTTTCTTCCGTCATAAAGCCAACCGTTCTCGATCTTGATAAGACACCGAATTTCATTGAGAAAAACTCTCCCAAATGACATTCAAGGTTTGGAGTAATTAGAATCAGGAAAACGTCAATACAAGACATCTCGAACTTTGACATTTACCTTTGCATTTAGCTCCCAAATTTTTTTGAATATCATTGGTAACGCAGTAGTAAATATAATGAATATAAAATACTACAGGGCGGCCATCTCGTGCCACTGTAGCGTAGTACTGAATAAAACTGATATCTGATTACATTAAATACTTTTGTAACGAGTCACAGGTAAACTGTCTTCAATATAGTTTCATTTGTCTTCTTAACTTGCTAGATTGAAGCAAATTCATCTCTTTTAAACAACACCCTCGTTAGTGGTTTAATTTAAACATGTGAAGAAGTCGACATGAAGAGGACAGTAGTTAACACTTAAGTTTTTCTCATTTCTGAAGATCGTGATTTTTTAGGTTTGAAAATAAAAACGGGTGTTGATTAGCGCGAGGGAGAGTTTTAAGGTGGAACTTCACGAACCACCATTACATGCTTTATTCATAACATTGTTATAAAAGTAGTTTTCTGTGAAAACTGAAGTACATTCCATGGTTTTCTGCTATTGTGTTTCAACTCTTATCATATAAGGGGCAAAATTACTGAATTGTGATTGGTCAAGATAGAGGGCATTTTTTCTTAATGTTTGTAATTTCCCCGGGCAAAATTACTTGAAAACGATTGGCTGAAAATCTCTTAGCAACGGCTGCCAGGGTAAAGAAATTTCTGTTTGTTTTGTAACAATGGCGTCCCGTTTTGCGCGAGATCAGTAAGAAAACATTTTGCCCCTTATATTATAAACAAGTAATCACAGGTTCCTCGTAAAATTAAGGATTAATATCACTTGTGTTTTCGGAAGTTGCAGAAATTACCTTCGCCGCTGCGCGACTCAGGCAATTTCAGCAATTTCCGAAAACACGCGTGATATTAATCCTTAATTTTACTCGGCCCCATGCGATTACCTATACAAATCTGTACTAAGGAAACTTGATCATACGCATGCGCCCGTCAGATCACGATTAAAGAACTCAAAAAAGAGAGGGCAATAGTTAGTTATGCTTGAAACGAGCTTAATTTACGTTACAAATTTTGATTCCCCGTTTTGAGTCAATTCTCCAAACGGCGTCATTAAGAAATGGATCAAAGCACGTGTAGTAATATTGGTACAACCTAGTCGTATACGATTCAGATGTGATAAATCAGTCCTACAAAAAATAATTTGGATATATCAACAAAGTTGAAGTGATAAATTGGCCACCGTAACGATTACAAAAGCTGACGTTTCGAGCATTAGCCCTTCCTCGGAGCGAATAGAGGAATTGTGGGTTGTGTGTGCTTTTAAAGGCAGAGAATGGAGCTACGTTATTATTACAAAAAATAACGTACGATCGAAGGCAAGAAATGAAATCAAATGACAATAGAAAAATAAGTTTTTGTATAATCAAGATCATGCATATATAATGAAAATTGGATTTGTTTTGGTTCTTCTTTCGTTTAATCTCATGCGTATTACTGTTCGAAGAATTACAGCCTACTACCTTTGGCTCTTTCATTTCTCTCGAAAAACGAAGGGCGGACTTTTCAAGTGAATAGCTTGAGTTAACATCACTGGTGTTGAGGCTAGATGTGATCACCAGACTAAGCTTATTCAATACTACAGGATAAGAGAGGTTTGAACTGTCCAAGGGAAAAATAATCAACAAAAAAAAAAAAAAAAAAGAACAAAACAGTCAAAAAGGAAAGAAATGATGGCTATAAACCAAATAAGGAAACACTCAAACTTTGTTGAATTCTCGAATATATTGTTGCACACTCTTCTGAGAACATGCAATTACGCAAATTAGTCCCAAACGGCAGATGTAATTTAATATTTTCAATATACCATAACAATATTTCAAGATATTAGTCCTGTGGGCTGAGGTTCTTCCAATTTGGAAGAACCGGCTTTAGCCTGAGATAAGATGGATTTTAAAAAAAAATTCTTCTTAAATTTACCTGAATCATTTCTTGTTAATGTGATTTGAAGATGCCGTCCATCATTAGTGATGGTGCTGTTCTTCATGGGCAAATAATTAAACTTAATTGCCTCCACAATGATGTCTTCCTTTGCTGCCTCGGTGTCGATGTTAATCGGAGACTGCAAATTACCTTCGGCGACTTTGTAGCGATCCTGCCAAGTGTGAGGACCTGAAATAGCAAATTATTCCTTATGGATTAATATTTGATTGTTTAAGGCACAGACTAAGGTTAGGTGTCTATCTTGATTAATTCATTTTCATACGTATGCAAATTGAAAAAGAGATAGATGTTAAAGGTGTTTGGGAAAATATTTTCGTGCTGAGCAAAAATATAAGAATCACACAAAAATACGATTTAAAAAGGCGTAATGAGGGGTCTCTCGATGTTGAAGAAAACATCGAATTTCGTCATCGGATGTCGCTATTAAGAATTTCCTCGACATCCCTTTAAAGTTTCGAAAGCGCATATTGTTGAAATGCGTTCGAAATGACATTCTGTTTTCGATAATGAATGTTTATGTCTCTATTTTCAATTTTTTTTTTTTAGTTTGTGATATAAACCAGCGGTGTTTCTCGGTCGAAGTGTGTTCAAGCCAGCTTTTAATAGTGCTGTATTGATAAAATACAGCACATACCCCTTACTGAGACCTTCGGCTGGACTTTCAACCGCATATTCAACTTCGGTTAAAACCACAACAAAACCCGAATTAAACTTACTTTGAATTTGGCAAAGAATGAGACGAAGGAAATTGATTTCGAGTAGTTCCAACCATTCATAGTTACATCTTAACGTCTTATTTGCCTCTTTGTTTGTTTTGGAAGTAGCTTGGACGATTAAGATTAAAAAGATTTCATTTTTCTCTAAATTGATTCTTAAAGGAAAGAACTTCAGAAACAACATACAGTTCTTAATGGACGAAAATGGATTGAGCGATGAAAGATAAGTAGGGCAGACACCCTAGAAATTCACAATAGAGGTGATACAATTTCGACTCTGAAAGAAATATTATTCAGTTCCTCTTAGATGAACGGTGAATTCACGAAAGCGGGTCTGATGGGCACCAGCTTGTAATAAATCAGTAAGATTCGGGAAACTGAAGTAGGTAAAAATTCACCCGAGAAATCGATGGTTACAAGCTAGGTTTAATTATGTTGAATTACTTACCGAAACCATTATCGGCGTAGCTCCAAGAAGACGTATGAGCCATTTTTGACCGTTATATTTTAGAACGTACTCATTCAAAGTTTCATTTAAAAAGGAAACGTGAACTTTTTTATTTCCTAGGCGAGTAAAATCGCGTTTTTTTTTCGGACTTATGACGGCGAGAACTGCTCTGCGCCGTTTTGAATTAATGATGATCTAAGTTTAGCAGTACTGTTGAAAATATTCTCGTGAGATGTGACCAATCTACCAATAGCCAACGCACTTTGCGCCTGAATTCTTGTAAACAATACTCGAGAGGGCATTATGAATTTATCATTGTTTTATCCAGTGGTTTTCCAAATGGTCAGATGAGTGTCAAAGTTATTATCCTTAAAATGCAAATAGGCTTGACGAATCAAGTGAAATTGCGACGAGAAGAGAAAAAATAAAACACTCGTCCAACACACTTCGCTAATGCTCAATCCTATCAAAAGAAAGCTTTCAGCTGACAAATGGAATACATCAAGTAGAATATTTATGAGTACAGTCTACTTGAGACACTTCAATATGAGAACCACAAGAGCTTTTAAGATTGTTTGTGAACAGCAACCCTAGACAGAATAGTAATTATCACATTGCTTTCTCTTTCCATTTGTCGTGTATAAGTAAAAAACCGCATGCACATGCATCAGAAATTTAAGAGCTCGTGAAGAGACTCGGTTAACAATGAATGGTTTGTTTTAAATAGAAGAAAGAAGTATCTTACAATACCTATCTACAAAAATGATTTAGGCGGCGAGTTCACCGATTTCAACAAAATTGCTCGAATGACGATGAAAATTATCTTCGTTTTCCCAAAACCCACCTTTGCAATTAAGATGTACGAGCAAAGTTGGGAAAGCTGTTTAAAAAATATCTACATCTATATAAATCCCACTGTATATTAGAGAAATTTTTCTTAATTCAACAAATAGGAGAAAAAGCTAATGGGAATTTAAAGTGACAATGTAGTTTTTATCATAAAGCCGTTTGGCATTAAAAAAACATGTTACCACCATTTTCTTCGTTAAGAATGCAGACAACTGAAAAAGCTATCTATCAAATGCTATGTATATTATGATCAAAATTACATTCGCAACGGTCAAATGATCATGGCCAGGTCGGAAGGGGAAGTTCATAACTGTGTCAAAGATCCCACCCCAACTCCCTCCACGGCCCATTCAAGTAAGTTGTCTGTTTCCACAATAAGGGAAAACAAAAGTACTTTTTGTACCCCAATTCCAGCAACAAGTTTTCCGTACACTTAAATTTGTAATTTTCTCATTTATATTTTTAGACCCTTTATTAAATTTGCGATTCTTTCGCTCACCGTAATTACCATTTTTTAAAATATTTTTTCGCTTAATTTAGCTCATCTAGGATCATTTGTATAAGTGTCATTTATTATTTCAGTCATTCGCGTTTTAACTTATGCTTTTTCAAAACTACTCAACCTTTAGTGCTGACCGTTGATCGTCGTTTGTCTTCGATTCGTACATCATTTTATGACTGTTTCTTCCCCATTTTCCCTTACTACCCTTGTTTCGCTTTTACTCCATGAAAATTTTTAATTAGTGTTGGTTTTACATCGACCATGACGCACTAGCTTTCAGAGCAGGCGCAATTATGGCGATCACTTGCATAATTTTCTCTTGGGACAAACTGAAGCTGCCATTTTTAAAACAGGGAAGAGAAATTAATATGAACCGAGGAGGTGAGTGACGGTGAAAAAGAAAAGGAGGGAAGGGGTGGGCAGTGAATATTACTCCTCGACTTTCTCCCGCCCCCTACCCCCACTTTCTCTAATTCGAAAATTACCTGTTGGATAAACAATCGCGAGCTTGTAACGTTAAATGCGCCTTAATACAATCCCTGTATTGCAGGGTACGACGGTATGACCTCGCACTGAATTTGCTTTTTCTTCGTCAACTTTTGGTTTAGATGAATTTCAGCATGTTTGAAGATATGATTTCCAATTAACTCCTCGTCGTCTAAACTATCATTTTAATTTGCGATCTCGTTAAAATACAATAGTGGCACTCTGGCTTTGAAATGTATTTACTGTGTAATAATTATAATCATATGCAAAATGTTAACAACATATCATCGTCGTGGCCTTGACTGCAGGCCCGACAGAAATTGAGAGTACTAATATTGATTTTTCAATAATTTATTTTACCCTCATTATGTCCTTAGTCTGAGATAACCACTGACAGTTTTTCTTATCTTAATTAGGACAGAAACGTGCACTTGTTTGTAGATAATGACCAAACTGTAAGACAAGAACAAACAAAAACGAAAAGCGACAGACAAGAAGGATATGAAAGGTCCAATAAGTGGATCAAACTTAAAGGCAGGCATTAGAGAGACAGTTGTCAACTAAGTTGTATTCTGGTACTATTACCAGTTTTGCTATTGGTGCCTGAACTACAATTAACAAATGGTAAACACCACAGCGTACACTATTGAGTTATGGATGCACGCGGGAGGTTCCTAAGCACGAAAGAAGCGTAAGAGTCGCTCGAGGCGATAGCCGAGAGCGACTCTAGCTTCTTGAGTGCTTAGCAAACCTCCCAAGTGCATCCATAACTCAGTAGTGTACGCTGTGGTGTTTACCATTTGTTTTATAACATAACATTGATACATTGTAGCTAAAGAGTTCCCTTTTATTTAACAAATCTTACGTGACCAGAAAAAAACAAGCGAGCGCGGAAAAATAGTCTTTGCATTTGCTCACGTCAGCAGCGTACACCCATGGGCAAATGGGGGACGCTAAATTGACCAATCAGAGCGCGCGCTTTACTTTGGTTATGTTATAATTATCATTATAATAGCTAGCAAATGTATATGTTTGACAAACTACACAAACTGCGATTGAAAAGAACTTTAATTGCCCGAGATATGACCAATGTAAGCCTATGAACCTAAATGCATGATTTCCTACTTTAATAGGGCATCGTTAAACATCTACTGTATATTGATATTAGGTGGAAAGATCATTCGTTTGCATCAGTCTTACAACATTCCTGAATTGTAAAGAACAGCACCCAGAGTCCAACCCAGGTCAAACCCCTTTAGCTTGTTACCAACCATGATCGCTTTGTTAGCAGGTAGACCGTAGCCTTTTGTCAGAAGCTCATACACAAAATTGCTGCCGAAGCAGTAGGTTTTAGCATATGGGTTCACTTTGATGCTCTCGAAATCTTTAGAGCAGAAATTTCGCGATCCCTTATCGAACATGGCTGGTGTTAGGGGTTTAGAAGTTTTTGGATCTAATATTCCGATGGTGATAGCTGAATAGTATATTCCAGAGAAACCAAAGAACCTCCCGTGTAGCTTGGGTTGATCATGAAACGGGCAAGCTCTGTCCTTGCAGAAAAACGTTTTGTCAATAAGTAACCTACAGTTTGAAACACTGGCAGTTCCCACAACAATAAATTTTTTACCATTGATAGTCGTTCCTACACGGTAACCTTTGTGATGACAAGGACTGAGAAGTTCATTATTTGGTAAAGGCCCCTGTGATAGTCTTAACAGATATCTATTTCGAGCTTCATTCAAACCAAACCCAAGATAGCTTCTCGCAAAAAGATCGTATTGCTTCCCTCCCACATTCAATACGTACAGATCTTTTCTTTTCTCGTCACTGGTATTAAATGTATTTTGATGGGAAGCCCCGCCAAGATCTAAAATTCCGTATGTGGAACCGGCTCTTTTAGGAATAAAATTTCCCTCCAAGAAGTTCACTGAAATCCATGCATATATTCCCTCGAATGCCCCCGATATAACTCTGACATCGATTGGGTCAAACATAAATGGGCATTTTAGTTTATCATTAAAAAGTATTTTTACTTGGTTAATGATCGACGACGATTGATCCTCGCTTAACAGTCTCATTCCTGCCGTGGCAAGGAAGAAAATCGGTGTGGTTGAGTGTTTTTCCACTGGTATGGCCTTCATCGCTGAGTCCAGTAAGGGCTTTAGATAGCCTTCAACTTTCCAAGGATGGGCGGCAAGTTTACCAATGCCTGGTTTGACCTTACTGGGGATGGGTTTCAATTTGTGCACATCTGATACGTCCAGTGGGGGCGAAGCAACATCGATCTTGTAAATCTCCATCTTTGTTTTGCTGGAGCCTGCATCAAATATAATGGCGTACTTGCTTAGGTCTCTAAACGATGAAGTGCTATATCGTTCGAGGTGGCGACCAAGACAAGGCTGAAAGTTCGACACGCTGATCACAATCAGAAGTGAGATACAAAGAACAACCATGTCATCGCTGTGAAAAAAGAGATCAAGTAAATGTTGTAAACTTTACGATATTACAGGCTTAAAATCGCGAGCAATTAAAGCACCCAAAGCAATGACAAAATCGGGTAAGGTTTGACGCGAACTTGCAACGTTTGTCAAAGAAACTGAAACACATGAGAAAAGTATCTGCTTTAACTTTGTTTTTCTGTATATTTGTCAATAAATTTCTATCATTGTAAAAGAGAAGACCTCTACGTGATAAGGAAGACGAGCAGTAAATACGAGAAACTAAATCCTAACCTCCATTAAAACGCTTAACGTTATTAAATAACTTACGTTAGTTTTCCAAAGTCTTACAAAGATAGATCTGATCTGCAGAGGGTAACTGCTGTGAAGTTCTACTTTCTTTATACCACACGCCCCTATTTATGTGAATCTCACATAAAGATACAAAAGACAAAAGTTCGACAAAACATAATTCTTTTGTCTAATTATTAACGGTAGGAAGCTTCTGCTTGCTTAAAGTAAACAGTATGATAACTCTACTCTTCAAACGCTATACTGTAGGAAACCTCTGCTTAAGATCATAAACACTTAGGGGTGGTAATGTAAACAAATTTTAACCGTTGTTTAACAAAACCGCGTCCTAAGCTAGCTTTAATTTGGCTGAATCTTTTATCTGAATACTCATTTTTGTGAGCAGCCACGAGGGCGGAAAGCAAACAGAGGTAAAACATTCATTCAGTGATAACAAAACCTTTGTAGAGAATACGTAGGGCCCACTGCTTGCGTAAAAGCGCAGTTTGTATTAGACCTCGTGTAAATAACCGGCCCTTTGTCTCTCATTTCCATTCAAAAAAAGTAATCATGAAACCGACGTTAACGGTGGAATGTGTCGACTGGGTGAATACTAACAGTTTAAGATCACCTCGGGCTTTAAAATAACGATGACACGACACCTCGGGAATTCTGAAGAATTGTTTTGTATCGCCCTTCGGAGTCTGAGAAATCCTCAGGGAATCAGTTAGCAAGCTATGCTTTGTTGCGTTCGGAACCTTTGCAAATATCAGTTTTTGGCCAGAAATATCCGACAACTGGTCGATCATGCTTATAAGTGCGTCTCCCAAGTTTTCAAGGATTGATGTCTCTAATATCAGTATCACTGTAAATAAAGTAGAGCTTTTAGCGTTAAAATTGTATTGTTATTACACTACATATTTGTGTGGCATTCATTATCACTGTTGCGAAACTTAACTGTATCTATATTGGGTTGTCCATGTTATTTGCATTGTGTGAGTATTTAAAGATTAACGGTTAATTGACGTTTTAAAAAGCTGTTCTTTTGTTCAAATTCAGCACTCTAGCAGAAGTTTCCTCTGTAAAATATCTGTACAATTTTAACAACCTTTGCTCTGAATTTGAAAAAAATTGTTGTAGGAATACAGTCGAATATGAATTAAGCTGTCTCAAGTGGTTTGTTGTCGAAGTCCCGAAATTTTTCTCCTTAATTGCTATAATTATGAACTCTGTTAAGCGGTCGTGGTCGCCCTTGACTGAGTCGCCATTCAACGACCTGCATCAAACGGTCCCTTAAGGTGGAACCACTCTATTGGATAATAATAATAATAATAAAGTCTTTATTCCATTATAAGATAAAACTACATATCTTATCAGATACAATGAAATATATGAAGTTCATATATTTTTAACTGCGGTATTAGATACATATGATACACGATCCTCGCAGTAGATAGCGCTATTTAAGCAATAGCGAAAATCAGACCTGAAAAAAATCAGGCCTGTACGGGATTCGAACCACTGACCTCTGCGATACTAGTGCAGCGCTCTACCAATTGAGCTAACAAGCCAACTGGGAGCAGGCCGTTAAGTTGATTCGTAATAAACCCGTGAAAGTGATAAAT